GGCGTGGCGCGGCGCGGCGCGGTGCGGTCGGTTTGCGCGGGTGGGGTTGGGAGGGGGGGGGGCGGCTGCAGCCCCGCCGGCTGCGCTCGCTAAAGTCGCGCCGCGCTTGACCGGCCCGCAGGCGGCCGTCGCCGTTGCATAGAGTGCACCTCCGCCTGCGCGACCGGCCGCGTGCGCTCACCGTTTGAACACGAAGAATTCAAACACGGCCGCCTCCACGTCTGCCGCGGCCGCGCCCCCGCCCGCCTCTTTCGCGGCAGCCTTCAGGTCCCAGGCACTGAGCCCCGACAACGCGTCGTCTCCGCCGCCGCCCGCCCTCCGCCACGCCGCGCGCAGCAGGCGCTCTCGCGCGAGCAGCGCCGCGCGCGCGCGCCGCGCGGCCGCGCCGGTGCGCGTGGCACCCGCGTCGAGGGCGGTGGGCACGCCGTGGCGGGCGGCGCGGCTGTACGCCAGGTAATGCGGCAGCTGGCAGGTCACCATGGACTCAAGGGCCCATCGGCGCCCGCTTTTTGAGCCGCCACCTGCCCCATCAGCCCCTGCCGCAGGCGACGCCGGCGATGTAAAGCCAGCAGGTGGCGCCGCCGACCTCGCCTCAGCAGCGGGGGGACCAGCGGCAGCGGCCGAGGGCCGGTCGGGCGGCCTGCCGCTGCCGCCGCCCCCCTGCTGCCACCCGACGCGAACTTCCTCAAGCAGCTGCCGCAGCTGGCCCAGCCAGTCCGCGCCCGCGGCCTGCCCCGCCGCGCCACCCCCCTGCTCGTGCTGAGGCACGCCCTGGGCCGCAAGCGGCACCGCCGGCGCCACGCGCCCTAGGCTGGGCGCGACCGCGCGGGGCGCGTGTGGCAGCGGCGGCTGTGGCGGAGCGGCGCCGGGCGGGGCGGCGACGGGAGCGACGGCAGCAGCTGCCTGCTGGTGGCGGCGGCGGCGACGCCGCTCGCGCACCTCGCCGGCGCTGCTGCCATACAAAGCTACGGATCCTGGCGGCGCACTGAAGCCTGAGCATGGTCGTCGTTCAAGTGTGAGTGAGTGCCTAGCATTCTGTGCAAGGGGGGTCGCCACCTGCGATGTGCACCGCCGAAAAGAGGACACGCACCTGGGGCCAGCCATCCGCCGCTGCTGGGCGCTAGTGATTGAAGGCTCCCCTGGGAGGCAACCTGAAGCCCCTGAAGCCGCCTAAGGCATTCCCGGAACAGATCGCTCCTCATCCTTGTCGACGGTCTCATACGTAATCTACTGTAGTTGGTCGCGTTGATTTGATGACAGTAGCAATATCAATCTAGCTACCGCGCGGTACACGGCATACCGTAGCACGAGCAGGCAACGCATCAGATCTCTAGCGACAGAAAGCACGCCTTTCGCAGCCATGATGCGGCAGGCAGCTTTAGTGCTGTTGCACGAGCTGCAACAGCCTTGTCGCCAGGCGCTACGGGCCGACGGCCAGTCAGTACGCGCAGTCTCGCACAGTGAGTGCAGCGCGCCGGCGCTGTTGTGTGTGCACGTCTCTCTGTTGCCGCCTGCCCGCCCACACCTATCTCGCGCTCTGCCCCTGCAGACCGCGCCACAGGGCCTAGTGGCAGCGTAGCACCTTGGACTCGTCAGAGGCCCAAAATACCGAAGGAGGAGAAAATATTCAGGGCGCGTGTGAAGAAGCTGCTGCGTGAGGACCCCACAGGGGCCATGGCGCAGCCATTGGCCGTGTCCCGTGGCTGCAGGCGGGCGCCCCCACTCAGCATGCCGCCAATCATTCAAGTGCAGAGCATGGCGATGTGCACCTGTAGCACAGTCGCGGCCGAGCCGTCGCAGCGGCAGCAAGCCTCTGTCCTGCGTGCAGAGCATGCTGTTGTCTGACTGTGAGTCCACCAATTCTCCCCATTGCGACCCCTCATACGCCCCAGGCGAACTCAATGAGGGCCCAGGCGCCACAGCAATAAGCACTGGCGGCAGGAGTGTGGTGGACGCCACGCAACAGGCAAACAGCAGCGGCGTAGCTGCTGGTGGCAAAGGCGACGACAGTGCCAGCCGCACGACCAGCAGCAGCCGCAGCAGCAGCAGCAGCAGCAGCAGCAGCAGCAGCAGCAGCAGCAGCAGCAGCAATTCTGCGCCGTCCTTGGACGCCGCAGCAGTGGACAGCAGCAGCACCAGCAGCACCAGCAGCAGCACCAGCAGCGCAGCCGAGGCCCGCAGCAGCGAACCCAGTGGCAGCTCTAAGGGCTGGCTGTCTTCATTGATGAAAGGGCTGCTGCCAAGTGCGTCGGCGCAGACGGCTTGCACGACGGTCGGTTGATGTTGAGATGGTCTTGGCAGATGCAGCTGTGTCGGCACGCGCGGCGGCAGTGAATTAGCCCGCACATGATCATTCCGGCGGGTCCGGCTTTGTTCTCTTCAATCCCGCTTCTCGCCCGCACCAACCTCCGCCTCGTCCTGTCGCCCCCCAAAAACCAACACCTTATCCAGGCTTTGGCAGCTCCAAGCCCGCTGGCCCCCGCCGCTCCTCGCCGCTCATGCAGCCGGCGCCCGCCGAACTCACCGGCCGCGAGCGCGACCTCGCGGCGCAGGCGGCGACGGCCGCGGCGCAGCAGGAGGGGCCGCTGGAGGAGCGGCGCAAGGCGCAGCTTGAGGCGCGCAAGGCGGCGTCAAAGGCAGCGGGGGACCAGGTAGCCGCCCAGTGGGACGAGATGGTGACATACCGCAGCATGACGGTGGACGGTGAGTCATCGTGTCGGGCACCACAGGGTTGAGACGTGCTGCATCGGCTCTGGTGCGCATCGGCCGCGACCAGTTAGGTGGCGGCAGGTGAGGTGCGGGCAGACGCGGTGTGCCACGTGTTTGGACTACCCTGGAGAGCAGCTGCCTTTCCCACCACACGCCCCCCCGTCTGCCCCGCCTCCTTCCCCTCCCCTCCGGACCCCTAGAGTACCTGCAGCAAGTGATCCAGGGGCAGCGCGAGGAGCGCGGGCCGCTGCCGGAGGCGCCGCAGCGGCGGCAGCCGGATGTGAGGCGTCTGAATTACCTGAGGATGCAACAGCACGAGATTATCGTCAGGTCAGCAGCGGCGCCCTCCCGCACTCGCGCACCTCGCGCACCGGGCGCGCATGCCGGGCGTCCCGGCCGCCTCGCGCCACCGCCACCGGCCCCCAGGGTGCTGCCAGCTATGCGCGTGGACGGAACAGCCGCTGTGCCACCAGTCTGCCTTGGGACGCCGTTGGTCACCCAGCCGACCCGACCCACCTTACTGCCTGTCCCAGCAAACCCAGTCCAACGTGGGCTCACTGCAACCATCCCCGACCAGCTTGGCGGTCCGAACGAGCACCGCACTACTCGCCGCTCTGCTGCCGTCCTCTGAAGATGTTATCCGTCCCCTGCCCCCTCCACTTCCAATCTCAGGCGAATGGAAGACAACGAGAAGGCCCTGATCCGCATGGACCCCCCCGGCGCCGCCGCCAACCGCGCGCTGCTGGCCTCGCTGGCCCGCCGCACGAGTTACTCAATCTCTGAGGTGCGTGACGTTATAATGACGTACCACCATCTCAGGGACCGGATCGACGCCCTGGCGGCCTGGCGCGACAGCGGGCGCCCCTTGCCAGACCTGGAGGACGAGGACGAGAAGGATGAAATCATCAAGACCATCAAGAAGGAGCGCGAGCAGGGTGGGTGCCGTGAGTTTGTGTGGCAAGCCGGGCCTGCGAGGCGTCCGTCCACAGGGAATTCATGCGCGGGTTGCAGGGGCGCTTGGCTGCGGGGTGGTGCATGAGTGGGGGCGGCACAGGCGCGCCCTGCTTGGCCTGCGGGCTGCCGGCTGGGTGCTCCTGGACTCGCAGTCCAGCCTTTCGACCCGACCGGCGCCGCTGCTCGCGCCCCCTCGTCTCCCTGCGCCCCTGCAGCTGACATGGACGTACTGCTGGCACGCCGCGACCGCGCCAACTGCCCCGTCCGCCCCTTCATTCGCCTGGTCGGCCGCCGCGCCGAATGCCCCAACACAAAGCTGCCCTATGCGCGCTGCTGTGGCGCCGAGGTGCCGGAGCGTGCGCGGGCGACGGGCGCGCAAGGGCGGCGGGCGAGCGTGCCAGTGAACGGCTGAGGTTGACAGCAGCAGCTTCCCCTGCAGGAGTGGCGATATGGCGCAGGCTTGTGACGGGTCCGATTTGTCTCAGAGCGTAGTAACAATCCATGCGTTCTGATAAGCAGTCGTGCACAGTCAAACTTGACTAGCGATCTGAAGTTGAAAGCAGCGATCTGTAACGTCAGCATGGCCTGGAAGTCGAGACAAGGTGTCATGCGTGACGAACTGGCGAGGCTGAGCGCTCTCGGGAGGGTGGGCACGCAGGTGAGAACTCAGATGGGGATTCCGTGCCGCTCACAAATCTAAGTCAGCACCTAGATAAGGTTCGAATATACACATGGCTTCCTTGGGCGATCATCACGCCGTACCAGACGCTGCTGGCTGGCGAAACATGCAATGACGCCTGCAAGGACGGCGCGCGTTCCATCGCCGCCACTGCTTCGCAGGGCCCGCTCGAGCTGGCGCTCCCCAGGGGCGTCCGCGCGAGCGAGAACAACATGCCTGTGTCCATGGTGTCCGCCAAGGTTGAGGTGCGCCGCCGCATGCGGCCGCATGGCGATCGCGCCGATTCCAGATCGCGGCGCGCCTTGCAAAAAAGCACAACCGCATAACCTGGCCCCGGACCGCCCCGCAGCGCCACAGGCAGCGCGGGGAGGGCCGACTGCCAAATGACGCAGTGCTCATCCAGGTCAAAGGGGTGAGCGCTCCAGCCTCTCGCCGCTGCCTGCAGCCGCCTTCGCCGCTGCCTGCAGCCGCTCGCGGCTGCGACGCCACCGCTGCAGCCAGCCTGCTGTACCCTACGCATCGACTGTTTAGAATTCCAAGCGGCTTTGCATGATGCAACCTTACCCTACACAACACACACACACACACACACGCACACACACACGCACACACACACGCACACACGCACGCACACACACACACACACACTCATACATGCTCAGCCCGAAGCCATGGAGCGCGACAAGCTGGTCAAGGAGCTGAGGCTGTGGGAGTACAGGGAGGCCGCCAGGCTCCGCCTGGCAGAGCAGCAGAAGCGTGGCCGCACACAGCTCGCGGCGCCGACGCCGGCGCAGCAGGTGGGCGGCGTGCGAGAGCGCCGCATGGGGCAGTGTGCCACGAAAGAGACTGGGAGGAGCAAACGCCCTGGCGCCTGATTTGCCGTCCATCTTGGCGCCTGTGGTGGGCAGTACCGAATGCTGCAGTTTTGGCCTTGTCGTGCTCACGAATCCCCATGCGTGCTGCTGCTTGTGCGCCCGCTGCCATTCCCGTAGCTGGAAGCCGTGCGGGCGCGCCGCAACGCAGGGCGGGCGTACGGGATGCGCGTCGGGCAGGCCAAAGCGGAGCGACTGTCGAAGTCGCCGCGCGGCAAGGGCGAGCGATGCGTCGTGGGCAAGCGGGACCAGGGCGCGGACCAGGGCATTGGCGGGGCGCCAGCAGCAGCGGCGACAGCGGAGCCTCTGTTGACATGCACTGACGGTCGCGCTGCCATGATATCAGATGCCGCTGATGAAGCCGCCGGTGGGCACCCGGTTGAGGGCTGCTGCGGGCTCAGTTTGGAGTGTCCGGCCGGGATCTGGCACGCGGCGGAAGATGGGGAGGCGCAGGCGGCCGCCGAGGTCGGGAAGGCAGGGGGACGGGCCGCGGCGGATGAGGGCGCGGGAGAGGGTGGGGAAGCAGCACCCGGCCGCGAGGCGGCAGAGGCCGCGGTCCAGCAACAGCTGGCTGCGCCCCAGCGCCGCCCGGCGTCGGTGGGTGACGCCGCCGCGCCGCGGGCCCCGCCCTGCTCAGAGCTGTCGTCGACAGCCCAGACTCCGCAGTCCCCTCGGGCGTGCGAGGCGGAGGGGCAAACCAGCGGCCAGCCTCTGCAACCGACTGATCCGTCACATGCGAATACGGCGGCGGCAGAGCCTGCGGCCGGCCCAACAGCCTGCGCGGCGAGGAGGCGTGCGCCCGCCAACCCCGCCGCCGCACGCGCACGCCTGCTGGAGCACGCAAGGGCTGCGGGTGACGCCCGCGGTGGCGAGCGGCGTCCGCCGCAGCCGCAGCAGCAGCAGCGTGGGTGCTGGCAGCAGCAGTGGTCGCCGCGGCGGGGTGCGCAAGACCAGCCTGCACCGGGCTTCGAAGTTGCCCCCTGCCTCAACCCAAAGGCGGCGGCTGCCTCGCAGCTACGGAGCCAGCAAGCAGCGGCCGCGGCCAGCGGCCAGCGGACCTTCGCAGCAGCGACGCATTGGGGCCCCGTGCCGCCGCGGCTGGCGCTGGCACCCCTGCAGATCGTGCGGGCGGAGCCCACGC